CGCCGCTACCCGGCTCTTGAATGTCTGCACTTCTGTGCTTGTCCGCCTGGCCTCCTGTCACCAGTCCCCTCCACCCAGCAGCTGGGTGTGGGCCACGCTGTGGCCCCTGCCACCACCTTCACCATGGTCCTCCCTGCCTGCCCTGTGCTTGGGCCTGCGGAGCCCCTTCGCTTTGCCCTCTGGGCCCTCGTGTCAGCCTGGCCCCCGTGGCCTACCTGCAGCCCCTGGTCACGTGTAGCCACCCTGCCTTTGTTCTGGAAGCAGCTGCGGCCTTCAGACCTTCAAACCCCCTGCTGCGTGCTCTCGGGGGGCATCTTGGGTCAGTCGAGGGTGCCATCAGCTCGGGCTGGGTGCGAGAGATCAGGGGCCGTGGACACAGCCCACCACCCAGGCCCCTTTCCTCCTTCCTGCTGCCCACTGAGCAGCGCCCAGCCGTCAGGGCGCGTGTGGCAGGTGGAGGTCAGTGAGGGTGGCCTGTGGCTTGGGCGGCCACCTGAGAGGCCGGCAGAGGTGTCGTAAGGTGAGTACCAGCTGGTCTCGAGCAAGTACACAAACACAGCCCACCCTGCGTGCCCCCCTCACCCAGCAGGTCTGGGCTACCCAGATGGCCCAGAGCCCTGTGTCCCACAGGACCCACTCCTGACGCCCGTGCCCGCGCCGCCCGCAGCGTGTCTGGCTTCTGCACACGCCTGCCCGGCCCTTTCCAAGACATCACGCAGGTTGGGCTGGATTGTGATGGACGCGACCCCAGGGTCGCCTAGGAAGCGGCTTCGGCCCAGGCACGCGAAGCTCCGGGGCGGCCCAGGACAGGGAGTCGGGGGAAGGGACTCCCCACTTCTTGCCCCAAGACGGGTGGGGCCCGAGAGGAGCAGCAGCAGAGACTCAGGGCCAGGCGTATCCCCAGGGCTGCGGGCTCCTTAGTCTGAACACAAGGGTAGGTGGAGGCCAGACCACTCGGCCGTGGGTCTCCCAAGACACTGTCCTACCTTCCCGCCTCGTCGGCGTCGGGCCCACTGCGTCCAGAGACCCACCGCGAGCCGGGTCTGGCCTTGTAGCTCAGCACTCCGCGTCCCTCCCTCGTAAGAAAGTCCTATAAGTTAGCAGGTGAAGAGTGGAAGGTAGGTAACCAGACTGGGAGTTTTCTGGAAGGCGTCTTTCTTTCTTTTATTATGGTTTTTCTCATCATCACCACCATCACCGTTGTTTCTTATTTTATTATGGTTTTGGTTTTATTTTCCTCCCCCTTTCTCAGCAAATCCATTCCTTCTGGCACATTCCCCAGTTGGTTTTCTGCTCCTGCCTGCCTTCCCTGGGCACTTTGGGTTGGGGTGGCTGGTCAAGAAGTGGGGAGAGGCCCCTCAGGTCTAGTTTCAGAGGAGGGTTCCAGTGTTCACTGGGAGGCAGGTCATTCTAGTGGAAGTGAGCCGTGGTGGCTCAGGGCTCTGCGAGGCCTTTGCAGATGGGAGCTCTGCTCCTCTCTGGGTCGCAGCACAAGGATGTTCACGTGGCAAATAATACGTATGAGATCCGAGCACAGACGAGGTGGGCGTGAAGGCTGGCAGGATGGTGGCCTCCCTGGGCCTCCTCCACCGTAAGCCCGGTGGCCACTGAGGACGGTGAGGCCAGGCCTTGGTCCTGCTCTGCCGCTCCCTCACCTGGGCAGAAGGCTCAGTGAGGCGAGGGGAAGCGCACAGCCTGCAGCCAGTAGGTGCGCGGCCAGTGATGGTGATGAGCCCCTCGTGGGCTCTGAAACCGGCTTCCTGCCCCCTGGAGTGTGGGGTGGGTGCAGGGACAGCTGTGACTTCTGCATGGCTGTGAGAGCTGGCAGGGCAGGCCAGGGACAGCACCTTGCAGGGTCAGCCACAGGGCCTGTGGAGTCTGTGGAGGTGAGAACGTGGGGGGTGGTGCCCGTCGCCCCCACAGCGACTTGGTATATGGAGATATTACGCTCTGTACACACAGTAGGTGCTTAGGTCATGGGAACAATCTCTGTTGTTCAACAAAACCCTTAACGTTGCCTGGCACACAGTAGGTGCTCCATAAATGCTGTTTGGAATGTAAATATGGAACAGCATGGGGTGGGACAGATAGTTGGCACTCATCAGCGGATGCTGTCAGTGGTGTGTGACAAGCTAAACCTGGTGCCAGGCACCCAAATCATGGGCTGCAGCTATTGCTGTTCAAATTTCTTGTCGTATGCTTGGTATACAGTGAGTGCTTAATATGTGGCACTTGCTATAAATAAGTTAGCCTGGTGAGGTACGCAGTAGGTGCTCAAATTAGTTCTTTTTTTTTAAAGACACAGAGAGAGGAGAGAGAATTTTTAAATAATTATCTTTCAGTTGTCAGTGAACACACATCTTTATTTTATGTGGTGCTGAGGCTCGAACCCAGCGCCCCGCGTATGCCAGGCGAGCGCGGTACCACTGAGCCACCTCCCCACCCCTCAAGTTAGTACTTGTGTCAGTCTGAAACACTGACATGGTGAGTGCTCAAAACCCGCAGTTATTATCTGCCAAGTCCTTGGCACATAGTAGGCACCCAGTAAATGGGGCCTTATTGAGAGTCCCCTGGCTTGGTGTCTGGCACACAGTAGGTGCCCGACACATAGTAGGTGCCCAGTAGATGGGGCCTTATTGAGAG